AATGGTGGTGTTCCTTAGCCATTGAGAACCAAGGCCCCCGCCCACCCCAGACAATTAAGTGAGACTATTTGAAGGTGGGACCTTCATGTCCGTGCTGGGTGATTCTAACCAGCTCACAGAGTTGTAGCCACTATTTTAGGGGGAGACTGGGCTCCTCATCCCTCTCCTGAGTCCTGCCAACAGCTACAGCTTCCCACTGACCCTGCCTCTACCTTTGTAACCCCAGGAAGAGAATGCAGGCTTATTTTCAAGCTCTATATAAAAGTTTAAAGATAAACTAAGTGAGCATGATATAGTGCTACTAAAGCTATGACTATAAAACCAATCACTCAATATGAAAACAGAGGTGTGGTGGAGTGAAATGCCTTCATATAGCTCTTCCATCCTTGCCTCTAACGCCCATCAAATGAGTGGGTGGGGCCAATAGAATGGATTGGTCAGCTTTCATTACCACGCCCCTGGAGATGAGCCATCTTTGAAGCAGCAGCAGCAGAGAGAAGGCCAGGGCCATCAGAAAACCACGTTCCAGAACCCTGTCTGATGTGGCCAAGTTCGAGACCTGAGGCATCAGAGGCTGCCGCATGGAAACCATGGGACCGGACAAGACGAGCAGCACCTAGACCCTGGGGCTTTGAGGTGGAGCGACAGGCGGGCTTTCTGGTCCAGGGAGGCAAAGGCCAAGGGACCACGTGGCTGAGAGGCTGAGAACAGACAGAGGCATGACTATTGGCCAAGGAACAGTGTTGCAGTGGACCAATGACTGTACCCTACTGTTTACAGATCCTAACTGTGGTAACCCATTAATGTCCCTAATAACCCCCATAATTGTGAGCACGGTCTGTAAAGTTCTGCGTGACCAGGATAATGAAGGACCTAACCCAGCAGAGTGGAGAGCCCTGGGGGAACGGCTGGTGTCTGAACAGATGAAGAAGGACAGAGCGTGGAAGCATGTCTGATCCTGCCTCTTGGCAGTAGGGAAGCCAGAGCAGGTCACCCAGTCTGCCCCCTCCCCTACGCTGTTGACTGAAGGAGGAGAGATGAAAAATGGCCACACTTGGACTTATTGTGATGAACTTTCAAAATGCAAAGCGTAAAGAGAAGAATCTAAAATTCTTTCAGAAAAAAATACATTAAAAAACCCCAAGAATAAGAGTGCTTCAGATTTTTTTATTTGAAATATAGCACCCCAAAAGATGAGTCAAGTCCTTAAAAATCCTAAGAAAAAATATTTGCACCTAGAACTTATGTTGAGGCAACCACATTGGTTTAAGTACAAGATTAAGGCATTTTCTGACAAGTAAAAACTCTAATAAATGTTTTTACCAAACACATACCACATGCTGTTTTCACAAGATTTAATTTGTTAGAAGCTATCGATCTGAACAGTCCACAGAAGGGAATGTAGATACACTGGTCTATCCTAACAGCAGCCCTGGGAGGAAGTGTGGAGCGGAAGGTGGTCACCGGGGCTGCCTGAGGGACAACGTCTAGGAGAAGCCAAGCATCCTGTCAGTCCCTCCAAAGGGGGACGGGGACAGGGTGGAGGGATGGGGTGGGTGTTTGCCTTCATCAGAGACCTGGCTGTGCAGCCTGACTTGCTTTTGACAGATTCTAGCATTCAACAAATGGGTCACTTCTGAAGCAATCAAAGACCTTACTCCTGAAAATGAGTCAATGTGTCTTTTGGCCACAGGGCCACTTTCTATTGGAAGGTTGAGGCAGAAGGGAGCAGAACTGATCTGTCTAGTTATCGCTATTCCAGCAAACCAGCCTTCTGCTCTTAGCCCTACACCAGGTGCGGCTGGCACACGGGAGCGACAAGCAGCTCTCCCGAACCACACAGCTGCAGAGATCCCAAGGAAAACTCGATCATTATACTGTACAGAAAGACAATCCTGCCATGGCCAGTTTATTCCAGCTCCACAGAACAGTTATTTTCAAGGAAACTATTAGCACAATTTCTTGTAATAAAAATATAAGGAAATAGAACAGTGATCAGTTTAACACACAACAAAAAGACAGCTAATAAAATTCGGAGCTGCCATCTTACTTCCATCATCATAAATGGAGAAAAGATTGAAGTTGTCAAGGATTCAGCCTTGCTTAGATCCAGGATCAATGCTAATAGAAGCAGCTGTCAAGAGACAAAATGAAGCACTATGTGGGGTAAATCTGCTGCACAAAATCTCTTTAAAGTGTTGAAAAACAAGGACTCGGATGCGGCTGACCCAAACCATCATATTTTCAATTGCCTCATGTGCCTGGGAAAGTCAGACATTGAACAAGGAAGAATGCAGGAGAGTCGATGTGTTTAAATTATGGTACTGAAAGTACCACAGACTGCCAAAAGAACAGACGGATCTATCTTGGAAAAAGTAGAGCTAGAATGCTCCTCAGAATCAAGGATGGCAAGACTCGTATATTTTGGACATATTAGGAGAGACCAGTCTCTGGAAAAAGAGGACACCGTGCTTGGTAGAGGGGCAGCAAAAAAGAGGAAGGGCCACAATAAGATGGATTGACACGATGGCTGCAGCAGTGGGCTCAACACTGGAACAACTGTGATGAAGGCGCAGTGGACCATCCTAACAATTTTGTTCTGTTCTGCACAGGGTCACTATGGGTCAGAACTAACTTGATGGCACCTAACAACAACAACAACAACAATGACATACATTGCGTTAAGAAGCCCTGGTGGCATAGTGTTTATGTATAGTTTAAAAGACAAATATATAAATAATAATAATTAGATTACAGCATAAAGAAAAAAAGAATCAACAAAACCAAAAGTGGTCCTTTAAAATGATCAACAACTTCTAGATAGACTGACTATGAAATAAGTACAAAATTACTAAAATCAGAAAAGTGGAAACATTACAACATTTTACGGAAATAAACAAGGTGTGGCGGTTACATCATCTCCTGTCAACTTGAGCAAAGGGGTGGAGTCTAGCCTGTCAATCAGGTCATAGCCAATAATGCCTCTGTGTGGGCATGGCCTTCTCTTGAAGATTTTGGGAACTCTTGTCTTCCTCCCTGGAGGCAGGATTCCTGTCTTCCTTTGGGAACTCCTGTCTTCCTTCCTCTCTCTGCTTCACATTCCTGTTGACAACCACATGGAACCACGCTGATGGAGTCACAACCCTGAAGCTGGAGGAGCCACGTGGAGACCTGCACGTGGGCTGAGACGCTTCCACCCCCACTGAAGCCACCACTGGCCTGTGATCTTCCTGGATTCAGCATCATTCAACAAATGTGTGCTGCATGAGTCTAAAGAGAAATTTATGGACTAGTATTGGACGTATGGGCTACTATCAGACTTGTGAACTTGATCTGGACTAGGGTGGGGTGTTTTCTCAATATGTAATTACTCTTTGATATAGAGCTCTCTCTTACATACGTGTCTCTGAATTTGTTTCTCTAGTCAACCTGGACTAACACAGAAGGTAAGAAAACAGTATAAACAATTGTATGTCAACAAATTTCACAGGCTAGATAAAATAGCAAGATTCCTACAAATAAACCAATTACCAAAAAAACTGACTCAAGAAATAAATAGAAAATATAAATAGATCTAAAACAGTAAGGAAATTGACTCAATTGTTAAAACCTTCCCAACAAATAAAAATCAAGGATCAGGTGGAGTCATTGGAGAAATCTACCAAATGCTTTCAAAATATGGAAGAAATACTTCCTATCGTAGTCTATGAGGCCAGCACTGTTCTATCTAATAATGAAGCCAGACAATGGCACTACCAAAAGGGAAAACTACAGACCAACATTCCTAATGAGTATCTGTTACGAAGCACTGCTACAAAAGCACACTTTTATTAAACAAAAATAAAAATGTCAATTACTGTTTCTCAACGATACCATCTAGTCCTATACACTTCTGAAAGTGGTATTTCCAGTTCTCTAACCCTTACCTCGTGCAGTAAGATTTACCAACAAAATTCTAATCGGACAGCCCTTCCTAGCTCAAAGAACAAGCAGTTGCATTGATATCATGGAAAAAGTGCTTGGTGTAGTAACATTTCTGGCTTTTTTTCTCCCTTCACTAAAGCAGTTTGCAATTTTCTTAAAATATCATAAGTTCCTATGATCGTCCTGTGTCCTTCAAGGAAATACACCATGATTACCCTTTTGGAATAAAAAAACAAACCACCACACCCCAAATGAGTAACTTTATATAAAGTTCTGAGCTTAACCTCTCTGGTTAAATGTAATTACGATGTATGAAATTGGACAAAAATAATCTAATGACAAAGAAGAGAAGTGACTCTGTAGGTCAGACTAGAACTGCCTTCTTTGGGTTCCCAACACTGTAAATCTTTGCAGGAACAGACAGCCTCGCCTGTCTCCTACAGAGCTGCTGGTGGGCTCAAACCACTGACCTTGCAATTAGCAGCTCAATGCATAGTCTACTACGCCAACAGTTGTCCTTCTCAACAAAAGAGATCAATCATGAATTAATAGTCTAAAAATAAAAATAACAGTTTAAGTAATGAGTAATTGTCTTACATAAATTTATGAAATCAGATCTAATAGATTTTCCATAAGGAGTCTTGATCGTACCCAGCAGCTATCTGAATGGTCAATGAGTTGAGCCCACTTTGCAGCCGAACAGAAGAAATACGTGTCCATCTGCTCCTAGCAAGATTACAAACTCCAAAAACTCACTGCCATCAAGTCAATGGCAACTCATAGCGACCCTACAGGACAGGGTAGAACTGCCCGTGTGGGTTTCCGAGACTGTAGCTCTTTACCAGGGTCCCTATAAAGATGGTGGCCTTGAAAATCTATCAGGAAGTTCTACTTTGTCATGGGGTTGCTTAGGGTCTCAATGAATCGGACCCCACTGGACAGAACCTAACAACAGTTTCTCAGAAAGTGGTAGACTTTATTGCGAACATCTTCAGGATTGAAATAACACGGACCTGTTTAAGAGTGTATACTGATACAACTGATTACAAGTGAATAATAAACTACCATTTACTTACCTCCACGGGGAGAAGGAGAATCATGCCCTCCAACAACCACAAGGATACCGGAATCTTCTAACTTCACTTTCCACTTGTCAATGATGGCCATAGAATTGTCCTGGAAGTACAGGACAGTGACAGGTGAGGAAGCTTATTTCCGAAGACTTTGACCTGAATTACATGAGATTAAATCACCCAGCAGGAAGACCATAAATACCTTGCTGGCATCATTGAAAACAGAGAGCTCCATGGTGCCTTCAAAGTCCTGGTGCAAAACAGACCTCAAGCATTCCTGCAGCCAGCGTTCAGCATTGTGGACTGGGAGGATGATCGACTGGAGTTGGAAAGAAATGGATTAACAGATAGAAGACGAAGTTCCCTTCCCAACTCACAAACTGACTTCCCTGTTACCATCAGCATAATACTCATTTCCAAAGGGAAGGCCACAGAACAAGGCTTCCAGGGAAAGTACGTAAGTCTGACAGACAGAAGGTGTCTCTTCCTTCTCACCAAGCTCTTCGCATTTTTTTACTCCCGAAGATAAATATTATGTCTTAGATTTTCAAAGTGGTCCTTCAGATGCTTTCAAAAGGAAAAAATCTGAAAGCATAAAAACTTTCCCACTGATAAATTCAATGTATTTTCCCAATGCCTTGTCGTGAACATGATCACTTTGCTTGTTATCTGTGCCTCTTCTCACCCACTCATGAGAATAGCCGATGGGCACTTTTCTTGGTAGGATAAGCACTTCCAGTCAACCAGGATGCTCAAGAAACTGCAACAAAGAAATTCTTTAAGTACTCCTAGCACAATGCGCTCACACAGTGATGGGGGTGGGGGGGTGTTTAAAGAACCCAGCTGGGCAAATGGTACATGTGAAGTCCATTTCTTCCTTCCTTTGTCCTACATGTTAGTTTAGAGCTGGTCTGGCACTGCAGTTGCCTTTTTCTCACAGAGCCCAGCAAATGAAACAAACAAGTCCTCAAGCAGTACAGAGTATAACCAGGGAGCTTGACAGCGAGAACCTGCCAACAAAGCAGCTGGTTACAGAAACGGGGTCTTCATTGGATATAAGACCACAGTAAAAAGACCATAGTAAGCAGTGTAAAGAACACACAAAAATCACAAATCACAGTCCTCACCCTTGAGTCTATACTCTAATGAACAGTAGGGGCATTTTCCTAAACAAAGAAATATGTAGTCAGGTTAGTGTGCCCAGGTGTGTTATATATACATGTATATATTTGTATGCATCATTCTTTATATATATATATATATTTATATATAATAATTTTATCTTCCACAATCCAACATATCCATTCACATACAATTCTGTTATTCAGTTCCATCAAGTGGAGTTACACAGTCATCAATGCTAACAGTTCCCAATTCCCTCCCGTATGCATAATTATGAAAAGTGCTAAATCTGAATGAAAAAGTCATTAGAAACACAGGTAAACAGGAAGGGGAGGGAGAAAGGAAGGACTCTGAAACTTGCGTTGGCATGAAAATGGCTAAAGTAAATGGAATAGATGAGAAAAAAGATGAACAGGTTTCAAATGGAGGCTCACGAAGACAAAGTAAAATAGTGTAATAATGAAATGTGCAAAAACCTAGAGTTAGAAAACCAAAAGGGAAGAACACACTAACATTTCTTAAGCTGGAAGAACTAAAGAAAATATTCAAGCCTCAAGATATATGTAATACTAAAGGACTGTATGTGAAAAAGATTAAATGATGAGGCATCAAAAGAAGATGGAAGGTATATACAAGTTGTGTACCCCAAAGCAGAAGTTAACATTCAACGATTTCAAGAGATAGCATATGATCAAGAACCGATGGTGTTGAAGGAAGATGTCCACGTTGCACAGAAAGAATTAGTGAAAGCAAGGCTCAAGCTACTGACAAAATGACAAGGGAGATGTTGCAACAAAAGAATGCATGCAACATTGAAAGTTCCCACTCATCTACATCAAGAAATGACAGCTACCTGGCCATCTAACTGGAAAAGATCCAAATTTGTGATCTAACAGAATGTGAAAATTATCAAATAGCACTAATGCCACAAACACGAAAAAATTTGTTGAATTAAAAAATGGTCGCAGCAATACATCAAACAAGGAACTGTCAAATTCATGCCAGATTCAGAAAGATTCAGACATGGGACCCGAGATACCATCGCTGACACCAAGTGGATCTTGGCTGAAAGCCGAGATTACGAAGATGTTGACTTGTGTTTTACTGATTGTGCAAAAACATCCAGCGGATCACAACAAAGTGGCTAACATCGTGAAAAAATGAGACTCCCAGAGCACATCATCGTGCTACAGAACCTGTACGCAGTAGCGGCAGCAGGTGTCCAAACAGAACAAGGGCATGAAAGCAAGAGTGATTTAAAATCAGAAAAGGTGTGCACTGGGGTTGTATCCTTTCACCATACTCATTCAATCTGCATGCTGTGCAAACAAACAATCTTTTGAGAAACTGGACTACATGAAGAATGTGGCAGAGTGTTGGACTCATCAACAACGTGGGACGTGCAGACAATACTACCAGGCTGCTGAAGAAGACATAGGGCATTTGCCGACGGAGATCAGAACCCAAGCCGTCAGTATGGATAGCACAGAAGAACACAAAGAATCCTCACAACTAAAGCATACACATCACACACAGAGAGAGAAAACCGAAGTGATTAAGGACTTCATTTTCCTTGGATCTACAATCAAAATGGAAGGAAGCAGCAGTAAAGAAATCAAAGACAGATTGCACCGAGCAAATCGGCTGTGCCGATCTCTTTAAAGCGTTACAAAGTAAAGAGGTCACTTTGAGGACTAAGTTGCACCTAACACAGGTTGTGGTATTGTTCAACCACCTTACATGCTTAAGGAAGCTGGAGAATGATTAAGTTAGATCCAAGAAGAATTCATACATTTGCACTATGATGTTAGTAAAGAATACAGAATACACCAGACTGTCAAAAGAACAGATACATCTGTCTCGGAAGAAAAACAGCCAGCATTCCCTTAGACTCGAGGATGGGGTAGCTACCTTATGTGTGTTGGACTTGCTATCAGGAGGAACCAATCTTAGTGTCATACTTGTAAAGTGGAGAGTCACTGAAAAAATAGGAAGACCCTGCACGTGGCTGAAACCAGGGGCTCAAATATCGCAACTGTGAGGATGGCACAGGATTGGGATGTGGTTAGTCTGTTGTAAATGGGGTCACCATGAATCAAAAGCAACTGGAATGTGTCCAGTGACAATTTACTTATTATTTAATTTACTCTGAGGGAGAAAGATGAGATTTTCCACTCCTATCGAGTTATGGTCTGGGAATCCCACAGGGTCAGTTCTACCCTGTCCAATAGACGGAATCCACACGATGGCATTGAGTTTGGTTTTTTGGTTTTAACTCACTTTAGGATTACTTGTTTAAAGGAAACGATAAAGAGTACTTTTACCGCATATTAAGTGCAATACAAACAATATCGTGATTTTCGGTTAAACACCTCAAAAAACTCACTGCCATGGAATTGACTGACTCCGACTCTTGGTGACCTTACAGGTCAGGGTAGAACTTCCCTGTGGGTTTCCAAAACTGTAACTCTGTGGGAGTGGGAGGCCTCATCTTTCTTCGGTCCAGCGACTCGTGTTTTTGAACTGCCAACCTTCCAAGCAGAAGCCCAACGTGAAACCTCTATGCCACCAGCCGCCTGAAGGCGGGACCACCGGGCCTCACCCAGGTGCTGAAATAACCCATCTCGCCGTGGTTGCTGATTCCACCTGCCCCGAGAGCCTGCGTGGGTCCCAGACCGGGGCCTTCGCAGGGCCGGGGTGCTGCCCACTCCCACCCCTCGTGCTCCGGGCCACGACCGTGGGGGAGGGGAAGAGGGAGCCGAGCCACGGCTTCACACTCAGGAAGGGGAGCCCCTCGCTTGGAAGCATGGGCCGCAAAGCGGGGAAGAAACGTCCTCAGTCACCACACAGCGGCCACGCTAAGCTCACATGTCTCCGCGTTGAAGCGTAGCTTTGGGGAGACGCTAAGCGGTCTGGCGGAGTTTAAGACCTGGAGGAGGGGCTTGAGGGGCCGAGGCCAGAGAGGGGGAGGGTAGGAGGAGTCCTGAGGGGATAGGGTCGAGGGGCCCTGGGGCTCCCCTCTACCTACCACCTGGGCCCGCGGGCCGCCCGGAGGGGGTGCGACGGCAACCGGGTCCCCTAAGACCTGCATGGCCCGGCGGGCACCGCCCCCGCCCACGCGGGCGCCTGGGTCCGCGCGCCGTTCCGCCTCGGCCTGCGGCGAGTGCGCATGCGCCACCGCTCTCCAGGGGGCGGGGCCGCGAGCTGCTATTGGTGCAGAGAGGCGTCGTTCTGCAGCAAGTGGAGCGGCGCGAGCCCAGGGCCCTTCCTCTGCCGTCTCGGGAACCTTAGTTCTCGCTGCCCCGTGGACTGCCCGTCAGGGCCGTGCAACGCGCGGCCTTTGGTCGGAGCCGGCCAGGCGCGGGGCTAGCGCCCGGAGTCAGCACCCCGCGGCCTTCTCACACGGGGGAGGGGCTGTGGCCGAAATGTGACCCCAGTGCCACCACCACCCTACAGCACAGGCCCCAGGGCCCGACCCGCCCAGCGCCTCACACTGACGTCCAAACAACTGCAACGATTTGCATCGTGGCCATTACTGGTGTGCTTTCTGGAAGGTTCTGAGCAGCAGGGAATCCAGGCAGTATCAGAACCAGGGTTGCCCCCAAGTAAAAGTAAAGCAGGCCATGCCCCCTAGTTTCTCCACTGTGGATCTCTCTCAGCTGATCTGAGATGCGAGTAATCCCTGTTTCTGACATAAACTCAACTGTCCAACAAAACGATGACTAAATGAAGATCATTCTACCTGCTACAACAAAGCCAAACTTGGGTTCATTCCTGCCATTATTCTTTTAATGTAATTTATCCTTTCACATTTTCATGGGTGTGTGTAGAGCCTTGTAGCTGAGACACTTGGGTCAGACAAGAGCCTGACCTATAGTCTGACCAAGACTATCTGAGGATCAGTTTTCAAGCACGTTCACTTTTCCAGAGGTTGGTGTAGTGTTTGGATAATTTCATATTTTTTTTGTATGAATAATTTCATTTTAAAAAGCTCAGTAGAAAGTAGCCTTGTTACTGCTAGCATCCACTGTAGACTTCAGAGCAGAGGAAAAGATCGGGTGGAAGGTGATTTCTGGTGTCTTGACGCCAATGGGATGTAGAATTGCACTCAGCTGCTCATGCTATGCTTCCCGGGCACCTGCCGCCAGGAATGAGCTGCTCACTACCTTCCCCAAATGAAACTGTGGTGGTGATCGTTAGCTACCTCAAATGGGCTCAAAATCGGGTTGGTCCCATGCTCTATCCTAAAGCCCAGTGACCGTCTTATCCACGGAAACTTGTGATGCTGGACAGGTTTCAGCTGACTAGGAAGAAAGGCCTGGTGATCTGTCTTTGAAACTCAGCCGGTGCAAACGCTAGATCATAGTGGTCTGATCCACAACTGACCATGAAGATGACACAGTGGTGGCCAGGCAGCGTTTCATACTGTTGTGCATGAAGTCACCATGAGGCCCTGACTCAATGGCAATTTATAATGCATCTCCAGTTAGAGACTTAATAGTTTGATAAAAGTAGCTCAAACTTTTCCAGGTGCTTTTTAACTTGACTCCACATTTTGGATATAAAAATCACTAAGTGCCAGGTTTACATCATCTATAATAAACTGCTGTTCTGGTTTATCTGGTATTTTGATCAGTGTAGCAGGAAAGGCAGGTAATTCAAACTCTCCCAGAATTTGCCTTACCCAGTTTTATGATCTCTGGGAAGGGCTGCAAATCAGTGCCCTACACCCCCGTCCTTCAGCCACACCCAGCTTCAAACACATCTGTTTGGCCTGCAACGTGGTAGTGGTTGTTATTAATATACCTTAGATTTTCAGAAAAATCTGTGCTGAAAGTACAGAGAGTTCCTGTGAACCCTCCTCCTCCCGGCACACATTTCCCCTGTGATACCATCTTGCAATTGTGTGGTACATTGGTCACAATGATGAACCAGTAGTGATTTAGTGTTATTAACAAAAATAGTTCACAGCAAGGCTCACTCAGTGTTGTATAGCCCCATGGGTATTGGCAAATGCAGAATGACTTGTCCATCATGACTGTCCCCCGAAGAATGTCAGTGCTGAACGTGCCCTGTGCTCCACCTGTTCCATCTCTCCTCACTCCTGAGG